CTTACTGGATGAGACCCTAAAAATCAAGTCAAGTGCAAACCGTGCAAGAATTCCGTCCTTCTGCAAAATAATCCTAACAAAGGAAAGGCCAGGTGCCAACGTAACCTCAACTTCAAAAAGCGAGAAAGTGTCGGGTGCAGACCAAACACCACAACTGACGACGGCCTCCAAGTAAATCTGGTTAGAAGTTGTTCATAGTGATAGCTGATTTCTGGTAAATGATAGTTGTAATTAGTGACAATCGATAGAATACAACTGCAACAGGTATAATCATTTAGTAAGGGGGCATGTGGTGCGACAGTTCATATTGCATGAAGTAATCCACTTTTTCAGGGGAGGGAAGCTCCGGGGTGGGTGTAAAAGTTTAAGCGAAATGGTTCACGCACCCCGGGGATTCCCTCCCCTTGCAAAAATTGGAATTTCTGTAGCCGGCAAGAACTGTCACACCACATGCCCCCCCCCCTACTGGATGAGACTCGATTTTTATTCTTTTTTTCATTTTCAGATGTGGAAATGATGAAAAAACTTCTGCAGAAACGATGCGAAAGACTTGATCGCTATGATGCCTTAGGTAATAGCGCAGCAATGAAAACATTTATGAGAGTACTGTAAAATGGACAATTTTGACGGTTTCTAGGTAATCTTCTCGCCGTCCACTTGAAAGAACTGGACCAAATGGATCCGTTGTTGGCCGAAGAATTTCTACTAAAAGCAAACTCGCTTCAATACGACGTAGCAGCAAAAATACTGGAATTGAAACGTCGTAAAGCACAATCCTCATAAAAGCTCATTTTACTTCATACATATTGTTCGTGCCTGGTTATTGTTAGAGTGTGAATAATTTTAGTCATTGTGTTTTTATCTGATTTTGTTCTTCGTTGCAAGACCTGTTTTTCCACGGTTACGATATGATAAATGTACAGTTTAAAGGAAGCGATACGATAGAGGGAGCGCATCGGGGAAGCATGTGCACCACACGAATCAGTTACTTGGCTGCCAGGGAAGCGAGATGTGGCGCTTTCACGACGAAAGGTGCGCTGGTTGCTGAGCAGGACTTCGAAAGCGCTCCGCCCCAAAAGCGATCCGCCCACTAGTTTACTTGTTGATTTGGACGAGCTGCGGCAGCGGCGCAAATGGAGCATCTCGATTGAAGCGTGGTTTGGCATGGTGCCATCAAACGCGTTGCGGTGAACTCGTTCATACGTCCACTTTCTGAGCTGTTACCTGTTCATGAGTGAAAACCAACGGCCAAAAAAGGGGGTCCCGTTTTGCGTTTTCTTGACGGATTTTTCTGCTTTTTTCGCTACTGGCGTACCATTGAGCACCACCACGTCACACTAAACCCTTCTTGAATTTATCGTAATCGCTGCCTTTAAACCAGACCTAGAGCGGTCAACAAGAATATCTTTCCTGGGTCAAATGCCAACCTAGTAATCCTGATCTTCACGTAAGCTCTGCTCCAAGTATAGGATGCTTGCGATCGCTTGAGTGAGGATGAACCACAGGAATACTTAGGTAGGCGACATGGCGTCTGCTCTGTGAGCAACGAGACAATACGTGAACTAGGACTATACATAGCAAATATGGAAGCGAGCAGCGATAGAGATCGAAGATTGTACCAAAGGTCCAGGCCAAGGGTCTGAGCGGTAGGGGCTCTGAACAGATTTTTTAGAGGTCATTCTGAGGAAGTG